TCAAAAAGTAGGTTGCGTAACCAAGTCGTTTCGGCGACGGCGTTTGCGACAGCTCGATAATCAGCCTCCGCACTAGATCGAGAAGTAGTCACCTGTCGTTTGGAGGACCAAGAGATGAGCTTGTTGCCGAGGAAAACACAATAGCCCGATGTCGAACGACGAGTGTCAAGACACCCACCCCAATCGGCGTCGGAGTAAGCAATAAGAGAGAGGTCCGGATTTGGGGAGAGGAGAAGGCCGTGGTCGAGAGTGCCACGAATGTAGGCGAAGGATACGCTTGAGAGCAGCCATATGAGGTTCCCTCGGATCATGCATGAATAGACATATTTGTTGCACAACATAGCAGATGTCGGGACAGGTAAACGTGAGGTATTGTAGTGCACCGGCAAGGCTGCGATAAAGAGTAGGGTCAGCAACGGGGGGTCCAGTGGTCGAAGACAACTTGCTCTTTGTGTCAGCCGGCATAAGACAAGGGTTGCAGGAAGCCATGTGTGCACGCTCTAGTATCTCGTCGGCGTACTTGCGTTGAGAGAGAAATAGCCCATTCGACAGGCGAGTAACTGAGATGCCGAGAAAGTAGTGAAGATCGCCAAGATCCTTAATTGCGAACTCTTGATTAAGGGCAGCGATAATAGATCGGAGCAATTCAGGTGTGGAGGCCGTAAGGACAATGTCATCGACATACAGTAGAAAGTATGTGCATGAACTGTTGCGACAGTCGCGTGAACTGCTGCGACAGTCGCGTGAACTGTTGCGACAGTTCACAAAGAGTGAAGTGTCGGACTTGCATTCTCTGAACCCCATGGAAGTAATGTGAGAGGCAAAACGCTTGTACCAAGCACGTGGTGCCTGCTTGAGACCGTAGAGTGCTTTGTTGAGACGACACACGTGAGTGGGGCGAGATGGATCGACGAATCCAGGAGGTTGCTCGCAGTAGACAGTTTCAGAGAGATTGCCATGTAAGAAGGCATTTTTCACATCAAGCTGGTGGATTGACCATGATCGCGAGAGAGTAATACTGAGAACTGTTCGAACAGTGGCTGGTTTGACAACTGGGCTAAAAGTCTCGTCAAAATCGATGCCCGTCTGCTGGTGAAACCCGCGAACAACCCACCGTGCTTTGTATCGCTCAAGGGAGCCATCAGACTGGAGTTTCTGTTTGTATATCCACTTACCAGAAAAAACATTAGTGAACGGGGGGCGGGACACAACATTCCAAGTATTGTTTTTAATTAAAGCAGTATATTCCTCAATCATGGCGTTTCGCCAATTTTGGTCAAGAAGAGCTTGGCGATAGATGGTGGGAATGGAAGAGGTAGAGGACGCAACTAGAGAGAAAGGGACTTTGGGTTTGAGCCCACTTTACTGCGAGTCACCATAGGGTGAGCGGGGTGGGGGGGGGGGGGGGGGGGTGGGGGATGTATGGGAGTAGGAGAAGGAGATGTAGGAGTAGGAGAAGGGGTTGTGAGCTGGTCGTGGTCGAGAGGGGTGCTGCAGGTGAAATAGGTGTTGGCTGTGTTATAGGACTGTTGGACGAACTGTTGGAACAGGGTGGTTCACTGTTGGAACAGTTGGAGGCACTGTTGTAACAGTTAGACGAAATCTGAGAGAGGAGGAACAGGGAGGGTGTGTTTCGTCCAAGGCAGAGGTAGGAAGTGTGTTTTTGGGGGGAGTTGACTTAGAAAAAGGATAGTGTGTTTCGTCGAAGGTAACATGACGAGAAATTATTATTCGGCCAATGGATCTATCCTGGCAACGATAGCCTTTGTGAGAGGAAGGGTGACCGAGATAGACACAAGGAGTAGAACGGGGGGCGAGTTTATGTGGTGTGGTGGCGGTGAGATTTGGATAACAGAGACAGCCGAATACTCGAGGATGAGAGTATGTAGGTTTGATGAGGTAAAGAGCTTCGTGAGGGGTCCGGTTTTGTGTGGATTTGGTAGGTAAGATATTGAGTAGATGGGTGGCCATATGAAGGGCTTCGACCCAATAAGTGGGAAGAAGATGAGCTTGAAAGATGAAGGATCGAATCATGTTGGTTATAGTGCGGATCATTCGTTCTGCGTGTCCGTTTTGAGGGGAGGTGTGGGGACACGAAAAACAATTTAGGATGCCGTGTTTAGTGAAGTAGTTTTGAAAATCCGCATTTTTGAATTCACGACCATTATCACTTTGTAAGGCTTTGACGGGATGTTGGAATTGAGTTTTGAGAAGTGTATGAAAATTGACAAAGGTTGTAAAAACGTCAGATTTATTTCGAAGAGGAAAAGTCCATAAATAATGGGTAAAATCATCAACTAACACAAGATAATATTTGAAACCCGTAAGACTAGAAACAGCATGCATATGAAAGTTCATATCTCAGCATGCATAATTTGAAATGGAGCAACACTAGTAGATTTTTGAAAAAAAAAAGGGAAAAGTGCGAGAAAAGGATAGCTAATTTTCTTAATAGGATAGCTAATATTCTTGATCGATCATAATTAAGACCAAATATGAGTTACTTCCATCAGCTATCGGCATAAACAGGGGCTAGACCTGAATTCGAGGATCCGAACAAGTAAACCAAATGTAGCTGATTCCATGATTCGTATATTTTGTGCCAAAATTTATGATAGTGCAATAGTCACTTGTCCTTAAATTTGTGCTTTGTATTTCCTTTGCAGATTTCATGTTTGCATTTCAGACAGTAGGATTTTGTACCTTGTAATGGTTTTTCTTGCACTGCATCATATTTTTTCCCAATACAGTGTTTTCGTTTTCTGATATAGTTGCGCTCAAATTCATCTGCTTTGGTTTGTGTTCCTGTAAATGGCCTTTCAGACTGAAATGCTCCCCAATGAATCTCCATAATTTCTTTGAAAATCCAATATTTTGTTGGACATGAGTTTGTAGTTGTTTGGATGCAGTACATGTTCGATGTTGCGACACATTTGTACAGTGTAAATGGCGTAAAATGCAACGTGCTACATTGGCATAATGAAGGCAAAGTAAATAAAAAACCTTCGGAACGTGTTATTTACCAGGAATGGAAGTTCATCTAGATTTCGAGGACAGTCAACAACAAATTTCAGCCGAACCTTCTTTTCTACAGATGTGGACGGATTTGGGCAGCAGGTATGATGAAAACAGAGTATTTTGTTTCTGTGATAACTTGTGCCCAAATTGGGTTTGTGGTTGTCACTGTAATAGGATGGTGACTAAGATGTAGGCTGCTTGGCCACTATATTTCTTCCGCGAAAGAGATGCCACGCAGTCCTTTAGGCGGTTCCCATTGGTATGAATCCAACGATATCGCATAGTCATTCAAATTAGACCTGGCCACGGTTCGGTTCGGTTCTGGTTCCGGTTCCGAACAGCCGATTCTGGTTCCGATTTTGGAAGAACCGGAACCGAACCGAAAAAATCCGGTTCCTAGCGGTTCGGTTCCCGGTTAGAACCGATAGAACCGTCCGGTTCTGATATACTTTTTTTCTTTTTTTTCTTTTTTAATATTAAAATTACTTATGAATTATACTTATATTAAAATATAAATGTATACACAACTCTCTAAAATTACTTAGAGAATTATACACAATGGTAATTTAATTTTAAGAAGTGGGCCAAATGGAGAACCCATTAACTGTTAATTTACTGTAAAATAATATTTTTTTATGAATTCCTAAATTGGATGTTAGGTGTAGTGGAACCCCCTTTTTTACAGTCTGTGTGCGTACGTATGCTAATGCATATCTAAACTATAATAATAAAGTTATTATTTTTTAAAGAATTACTGAAACATAAAGTTGAGATACAGATAATTTTTATATACATACAGGCATGGTTGTTAAACTGAAAATCGATTAATCAAAAATTTAAATCGTAAACTGAATTCAATTGTAAATTGTAAAATTTTTAATTCTTTCAAAAGTAATATCGATAATAAATATTTTAAAGAAATTATACAGTGTTAGAGAAACTCCAATGGAGTTATTAAATGGGTTATCAAAATCATTAACTTCCATTTTGATAATTTAAATTAGAGATTTTCAACTCCAACAGAGTTATTAAATGGGTTTTTATTTTGATATTTTAATTTTGGGACTATTAGTGACAACCCCCTCTAACATTATTTTAATAAGGATGAGTCCAGGTCATTTTTCTTTATTGGTGAGGAACCCATTCTTTTCGTGTTCTCAAAGTTACCCTTCCACTATTCACTACCCATTAGTCACTAGTTTGATGTATTTTTTTTTTTTTATATTTTAATTTTAATTTTCCTTTTTTTATTTATTTCTTCCTTCAAAAATAATAATTTTTTTAAAAAAAAAACTTTTTTTTAAATTTTTTTAATATTTTTCTGTAAATATTCCTTTTCTATATTATTTTAATTTTCAGTTAAAACAACTATATGCCAATAAAACGACTGTTATTAAAACGACTATTATTAAAACGGCTATTATTAAAACAATTGGTATTAAAACAATAATACATCAGTTTCACAATTTATTAATTTAATTATATATTATATTATTTCCATTGTAAGATTAACTAATTACTTAATCAAAATATCTCCAAAACAACTATTTGTTAAATCAACTATTTATTCAAACCAAGTAAAAAGTAATGAAAACAATAATATTGTTGTGCAAAAACAACTATATTGCTATACGAAAACAATAATATTGTTGTGCAAAAACAACTATATTGCTATACGAAAACACCTATATTGAATCAACTACAAATTATTGAAATCCACAGAAGCAAAAGCAAAAACACACACCAAAATTCCAACAAAAACGACTATTATTGAAACCAACTACAACCGTAACGAAAACAACTATATCTTTTTGAGTAACACGAACACAATTTCAACAAACCAGCCTTCCAAACAATACCTCCTCCTCGAGGTCAATCTATTCAATTACAAAAGTGATGGAGACGGTCTTCCGACGAGGATTCCGGGAATGCTTCCAAAAATCGAAAGAAAAAAAAAAAGAAAAAAATACCAGCGGATCTGCTCATCCCTCAAAAAGGAAAGGGGGAGATCGGAAGGCTGCCGTCCGTCCTAGATTTGGCGGCGTCGCCTTGTCGTTGTCGAGATCTGGAGCAGGCTTCATCCTCTCCTTGCCCCACATCCGTCGGATTCCCAATTCGAGAAAAAAGAGAAAGAGGTCTTCCTCGTCGTTGTTGAGATGTAGCGTCACCTTCGTCACCTTCATCGCCGCCGCCATCGCAGCCGATATTACTGAGTTTCGTTTCCAGAAAAGAAGAGAAGACGTGATGGGAATTTGAAAACGGCGGTTTGTGGGGATTTGAGAACGACGCTGTATTGCAGACAATATGGCTAGGGTTTGTGAATATAAGATTTGGAGAATTAAGGATAATATAGGTATAACACTTAATAATTGTATTAATTTTAATTTAATTAAATAATTAAGGGGGTTCTCACTAATAATGAAAAGGAGGTTATATCCACCTTAATATAAGTAAATGAATTGGGGGGTTTTTACTAATTATCCCTTTAATTTTTGGGATGTAAAAATACATCCGGAAGAAATAATGCCAATTAGAAGTTACACAACTTAACCACCTAAATAGCCAATTAGAAAATGACATGTTTTAATTAAAATATAAAACCACATTATTTATTTTTAATTATCAACTATTTGATATTTATGGTTGGAGCAAATAAATTTAATTAGGTATCAAACTTAAATATAAAATATCAAATAAATATTTGATAATTTATTTTGATATTTGTGGGTTGGAGTTGCTCTTATAACAAATCTGTAAGTTTTTTAAAATTTATAATCTCTAAAAGTCGTATCTTAAAGAATATAACGAATTGATTCAATTAAATATAAATAAATAAATGATCAAATGCAAATTAACTTATGCTATTAAAATCGGTGGCGTATAGAATAGAATTGAACTTATTCTAAATAATTTTCATACTTTATAGAGTAACAATTAGGAGTGCAAGGTGCAATGGAAATTCAAATTTCTGCCGGTTCCGATCCGAAAAGTTCCAATTTTGGAGCGGCTGGGAAGATGGAATAAGTATAGGGGTGATTCTGCAAGAACATGTTTCAACTAGGGAGGTAAATTTCCAGTAATTACAAATTGACCCCAACTTGAGGGCGTTTCCAATTTAAGGACCAAAATTAAAAATGGTATTTAATATAGGGACCAACACAGTAATTAACCCAAGTTTATTATAAATAATATAATAGATTAAAGTTTTCTGAAATCGTAAATCGTAAAATTTGATCGATTTGTTGATATTTAAGATTTATTTTAACATTTGAATTAACTTAGGTATGAATGAGTTGAATCGTAAATCATAAGATTTTAAGCTCGGTATTGAGAATTTTCGTAAACGAGTCACACGCAATTACCGGTGAGGATGAGTCCAAGCATGCTGTGTTAGTGGCGGATATTTCGATTATTGCAAGAGAGATCCACTTTGGCGTCAACTTTGTAATTTGGGTGGAACGGCTGGGAAGATGGAGTAAGTATAGGGGTCATTCTGCAATTTTCAAAATCGTTTCAGCCAGGAAGGTGGACTTCCAAAAATTACCAATTAACCCCCACTTGGGGGCATTTCCGGTTTAAGGACCAACTATTAAAACGATATACAATATAGGGACCAAAACTGTAATTATCCCAAGTTTATGACAAATAATATAATAAATTAAAGTTTTCTTAAATCGTAAATCGTAACATTTGATTGATTTGTTGATATTTAAGATTTATTTTAACATTTGAATTGACGGAGATAAGAATGAATTGAATCGTTAGATTTGAATCTTAAATCATAAGATTTTAACCGAGGTATAACAAATTTTCGTTAATGAGTCCCACACAATTACAGCTAAGGAGGGGTCGAAGCATGCTACGTTGGTGGCAGATATTTCGAACATTGCAAGAGAGATCCACTTTGGGGTCAAATTTGCAACTTGGGTGGAGCGGCTAGGAAGATGGAGTGACTACAGGGGTGATTCTGCAATTTTCAGAACTGTTTCAGCCAGGGAGGTGGATTTCCAGAAATTACAAATTAATACCCACTTGGGGGCATTTCCGGTTTAAGGACCAAAATTAAAAATAGTATACAATATAGGGACCAAAACTGTAATTATCCCAAGTTTATATAAATAATATAATAAATTAAAGTTTTGTTAAATAATAAATTTCAAATTTGATCGATTTGTTGATATTTAAGATTTATTTTCACATTTGAATTGACTGAGGTATGAATGAATTGAATCGTTAGATTTGAATCTTAAATCATAAGATTTTAAGCTCGGTATTGAGAATTTTCGTAAACGAGTCACACGCAATTACGGGTGAGGATGAGTCCAAGCATGCTGCGTTAGTGGTGGATATTTCGATTATTGCAAGAGAGATCCACTTTGGCGTCAACTTTGTAATTTGGGTGGAACGGCTGGGAAGATGGAGTTAGTATATGGGTCACTCTGCAATTTTCAGAATTGTTTCAGCAAGGGAGGTGGATTTCCAAAAATTACAAATTAACCCCCACTTGGGGGCATTTCCGGTTTAAGGACCAAAAATAAAACGGTATACAATATAGGGACAAAAACTGTAATTATCCCAAGTTTGACAAATAATATAATAAATTAAGTTTTCTCAAATCGTAAATCGTAACATTTGATCGATTTGTTGATATTTAAGATTTATTTTAACATTTGAATTGACGGAGGTATGAATGAATTGAATCGTTAGATTTGAATCTTAAATCATAATATTTTAAGCTCGGTATTACAAATTTTCGTTAATGAGTCACACGCGATTACAACTGAGGAGGAGTCGAAGCATGCTACGTTGGTGGCAGGTATTTCGAATATTGCAAGAGAGATCCACTTTGGGGTCAAATTTGCAATTTGGGAGGAGCGGCTAGGAAGATGGAGTAAGTATAGGGGTGATTCTGCAATTTTCAGAACTGTTTCAACCAGGGAGGTGGATTTCCAGAAATTTCAAATAAATACCCACTTGGGGGCATTTCCGGCTTAAGGACCAAAATAAAAAATAGTATACAATATAGGGACCAAAACTGTAACTATCCCAAGTTTATATAAATAATATAATAAATTAAAGTTTTGTTAAATCGTAAATTTCAAATTTAATCGATTTGTTGATATTTAAGATTTATTTTCACATTTGAATTGCTTTAGGTATGAATGAAATGATTGTTAGACTTGAATCTCAAATCATAAGATTTTAAGCTCGGTATTGCAAATTTTCGTAAATGAGTCACACGCAATTACAGCCGAGGAGGTGTGGAAGCATGCTGCGTTGGTGGCGGCTATTCCGGATATTACAAGAGAGATCTACTTTGGGGTCAAATTTGCAATTTGGGTGGAGCGCCTAGGAAGATGAAGTAAGTATAGGGGTGATTCTGCAGTTTTCAGAACTGTTTCAGCTAGGGAGGTGGATTTCCAGAAATTACAAATTGACCCCCCTAGGGGGCATTTCCGGTTTAAGGACCAAAATAAAAAATGATATATAATATAGGGACCAAAAATGTGATTATCCCAAGTTTATTATAAATAATATTATAAATTAAAGTTTTCTTAAATCGTAAATCGTAAAATTTGATCGATTTGTTGATACTTAAGTTTTTTTTTAACATTTGAATTAACTTAGGTATGAATGAGTTGAATCGTAAATCATAATTTTTTAAGCTCGGAATTGCGAATTTTCTTAAATGTGTCACACGCAATTACGGTTGTGGAGGAGTCGAAGCATGCCGCCTTGGTGGCGGATATTTCGAATATTGCAAGAGAGATCAACTTTGGGGGCAAATTTGCAATTTGGGTGGAGCGACTAGGAAGATTGAGTAAGTATAGGCATGATATTGCATTTTAATAATTGTTTCAACCAGAGAGGTGGATTTCTAGAAATTACAGGGGCATTTCCGGTTTAAGGACCAAAATTAAAAACGGTATACAAATAGGGACCAAAACTGTAATTATCCAAAGTTTATTATAAATAATATAATAAATTAAAGTTTTTTTAAATCGTAAATCGTAAAATTTGATCGATTTGTTGATATTTAAGATTTATTTTAACATTTGAATCGACTTAGGTAGGAATAAATTCAATCGTAAGATTTGAATCGTAAATCATTAGATTTTAAGCTCGTTATTTCGAATTTTCAAAGAATGAGTCACACCGATTACAGCTAAGGAGGTGTCGAAGCATGCTGCGTTGGTGTGATTCGGATATTGCAAGAGAGATGCAGCTTGGGGTCAAATTTGCAATTTAGGTGGAAAGGATAGGAAGATGGAGTAAATATAGGGGTTATTCTGCAATTTTCAGAATTGTTTCAGCCAGGGAGGTGGATTTCCAAATATTACAAATTAACCCCCACTTGGGGGGCATTTCTGGTCTAAGGACCAAAATTAGAAATGGTATACAATATAGGGACCAAAACTGTTATTATCCCAAGTTTATTATAAATAATATAATAAATTAAAGTTTTCTTAAATTGTAAATCGTTAAATTTGATCTATTTGTTGATATTTAAGATTTATTTTAACATTTGAATTGATTGAGGTATGAATGAATTGAATCGTTAGATTTGAATCTTAAATCATAAGAGTTTAAGCTCAGTATTGCAAATTTTCGTAAATGAGTCACATGCAATTACAACTGAGGCGGAGTCGAAGCATGTTGCGTTGGTGGCGGTTATTTCGGATATGGCAAGAGAGATCCACTTTGGGGTCAAATTTGCAATTTGAGTGGAGCGGCTAGGAAGATGGAGTAAGTATAGAGGTGATTATGCAATTTTCAGAATCGTTTCAGCCAGGGAGGTGGATTTCCATAAATTACAAATTAACACCCACTTGGGGAACATTTCCGATTTAAGGACCAAAATTGAAAATGGTATACAATATAAGGACCGAAACTGTAATTATCCCAAGTTTATTATAAATAATATAATAAATTAAAGTTTTCTTAAATCATAAATCGTAAAATTTGATCGACTTGACGATATTTAAGATTTATTTCAACATTTCAATTGATTGAGGTATGAATGAATTGAATCGTTTGATTTGAATCTTAAATCATAATAGCATGACAAATATACTCTAGAGGTAACCGCTCGACTGATACAAACATGTCAGGTGTGCTTCTATATAGCGTGCATGAGACGCCACTTGAGATCGGGGTTATGCACAATCACAACAACGCACATACAAAGTGCAAAAAATGCAGATATAATGAAGCAAGGTATGTATTATACACAATTTATTCGTACCGTACAGAATATTATATTCCCACATTAATTTCATATGGTTAACAGAGAAAAATTGGTTATCATAATTTACGACCATACTGGATCTTTGGATATTACCATCTACGGAGGCGAATCCAGAAATATCATGAACATTGATTCAAACATGCGCATGCATAATTACACTCGGGGTACAGTAAACTCATCCTTATGTAGAATCATTTATCAATATATGTTTATAAAGTTACATAACCCGACAATCCCACTGCAGGGGTATGAGCTGCCTATCGATCATGCAAATAAACTGTTCAAGAACCAACTCTTTTGCATGCAAATAAAAAGAAACAAATGCAACGTTGATAGTACTATATACAACCAATTAACAAATCTTCACCGCATGCCATTGTGCACCGATTTAGAACCACATTCTTTTCTTCCTAATCAGTATCATCCATCGCAACAATGAGTCCCGTAATGATCATGTACGAACATTCTATCCTTTACATATCATAATAAATAGGGGAAAGTACAGTTTGCACCCCAGAACTATGGGGCTTGTCAGAAACACCCCCTTAAACTACAAAACGTACCAAAATGGCCCCTCCGTTTCCAATCCGTTTGTGTATAATGACGTGTCAGGTTGACTTTTTTAATTTTCAATTAGTTTTGTGCCTGCACCATTTTATTGACGTTTTTACCCCCAGTTATATATATTGTTGGGTGCTAAATACCGACACGCAAGTGTACGTATCGCAAACAAGTAGTAAAGTAGACTCGTGAGAGTCGGATGTCGATCCCACAGGGAATACGCAAATTATTTAATCCTAAGTACCAAATCCTAACAATTATGATTTTTATTCAGCCTACGCAGGGTTGTCAAATTAATTAACTAAATAAATTAAACTAATTAAGAAAACAATTAAACACGAGAAAATATCAATATAAAACGGATCTAGGATTTTATCTTCCCCCTATGTGATAATTCTTCACCCAATTAATCTCCTATCATGCAAGTTACGATTCCCGATTATTAACCCAAGACACGAAATTACTCATAACCAGCTGTCGTTGTGCTATAAGCCTATTATTCATAAAAGATTCACTATATGTCTATGCAAACCTAGTATAAATAAAGCATTAAATAACAAGTCTCGTAAACGGCTACATAAGGTATTATTTGTATGTCTACGATAATACATGCAATTAACACACTTATCCGGTGAGAACTACTCGAAGGCTCTTCTATCCCTGTTCTAATTATTAAAACGATCTGTCAATCAATTCTAACAATAACTAATAGCAACATAAGTTAGCTACGCTCATGCACTAAATACGATCGAAATAGAAGAAATAATCGAAGAATTAAACTTGCATAAAAGTAGAAAAATAGGTTCGAATCACCACATAAGGTTCCAATAAAATCCTAGAATAAAAACTTAGCTACTCATGTTCTCTACGAAAAGCATAATAAAAATACGAAAAAATCATAAAAGCTATAAAAAATCAAAGAGGAGAACTAGGATGAAGATTCGTCAAGTCTTCGTCTTCGTTCTTGTGCTCCTTGATCGCGTGTAGAAAGATGAAAAATAAAAACCTAAGATAAAAGATAAAGGTAAAAGGATAGATCTAATTGTGTGCTCTTGGCCTTTAAATAGGGTGCAAAAATATAATAGGGCGGGTTTCCTTGTGTAATTAAACTTCCTTCACTGCGCCAACTCGTACACTCGGACGGCCGTGTGAAATATAAGCTTAAAACCCGCACGGCCGCGCAGTCTTCAATTCTTCAGAATTCTGATTATTTCACTTTTGGCCCACTTTTTCTCCGAATTTGCAGTTTTCACCCCAAAAGTTGACAATTTTTCAATTTGCACCTAAAATACAAATAATAACCATTTTAAGCACCAATTATCATTAAAACACACCAAAAGCTCCAATTAAAAGGTATAATTAAGTGTAAAAATATACACTTAACATATATATATATATATATATAACTTGCAAGTATGCGCCGCTTTTTTGTGTGGTTTTTTTTTTTTTTTTTTTTTTTTTTTTTTTTTTTTTTTTTTTTTTTTTTTTTGTTTTTT